CAAGGAAGTTCCCGACAGATGCGTCATCTTAGTCAACTTTATAAACTATGGAAAAAAGCCAAACTACTTTTGACGGCTTTATAGACTTCAGGGTCGAAATCCGGACTAACAGAGTTGAATAAATTGACCATTGGGTAAATGGACTATAGATTACAGAAAAATAGATTTCTGACGTTTCTTGGCCTCGTGGGAATCGTTTCCTCAAAGAATTAAAACTTGTACACGTTATCGCATGTTCAAATAGTAAATGGCGACAGATTAGATCACATTGATCGAAGTCGAAATCCACTCAGCAGCCTTGTGCACACTCGTTCAGTAAGTAACGAGCCACACCAGTTGTGTGACGGCTAAGGATACTACCCAGCTGCCCAAACCTCCATAGGTGAAGTGGTGTTAGAACCCGTGACCCATTGGTTGAAAGTTATTTCCCTAAACCAATGAGTTTGACTAGTAACTGATAACGATGATATTTATTCCCATATAATTATCATCTATGAACAACGTGATCTGATTTTTTGTCATTTACTATTTTTAAAGCAATAACCTGTATAGGTTTTATTTCTCTAGGGATGCAATTTCGGCGAGGTCGTGAAATGTGAGAAATTTGTCTATCTCATTGGGATTTTATAAATATATTTCATTTATACTCTTGGAGGATGCTGCTCGTTTCTGGGCCTAACGTTATTATGTCTAAACTAGATATTTAACATCCTAAAATAAAGATTTGGGTATACAAACACCTCTAGACATCTTACCATAGGGGATAGCATTTTAATCCATCTAGGGAATCACTTGATACTGTTGTACAGAAGTCAACATGAGCTACAATAAGGCAACCACTTTTTGATATTTGACTTCTATACACATGATCTCCCAAAAATTAGGGGTAGAACGACACGCTTATAGTCACGAATGTCTAAGTTGGATAGCATACTTTTTTAGCTTTTTTTTACAGAGCATGTTGTTTTTCTGATCTCATATTATCTTTTAGATCGAATTCTCAACCAAAAAACTGCTTAGAAATTAAAACTGATGAACACGAAAGCAAAATTCCTTAGACAGCATTGTTAGTCACATTGAGTAGCACAACGTGAGTAAGTGTTCAATAAAAGGTTTTAATGTCATTCACTGTAGCCAAGCACATTTTCGTTTACAGATAAGTCACCCTTGAATCCAATCTACCATAATAGATCGTAAATCATAAGGAATGGAAATTTTTTTAACCGAACTAAGAAAAACTTAGTAACTTAAAAACTAGTTCTTAATTACGGTTGATCGGAGCTATTCAAAACAAAAGGGAACCGAATTTCTGCAAACATTAACATAAATAACCTTTAGCCAGTGATTGTTTGATCGGCTTTTTTTAATTGCGAAAAACATTAGCTATGTACTATGCCTAACTTGGTTTGAATAACAATAAAGAAATAGAAATCAACCTAAAAAACTGGATTTCCTAAATCTGATTTTGATTTCATCAATAGTCCAGTGAAAAGCTTACTAATACAAAAAAAACCGTTCAGCATAGATATGTACATGGAAATACCATTAATGACATTGTCAGGGTCGATTAAACCACTAATCATGTATTCCATGTACACCAAACCAAAATATGCTTTACGTACAACCGTTTTTGATATGAAGGCTTATTTAGCATGACATGAAGTTAGTGTAGTTCTCATGAACACTGAAGCATGCAACTTCATACTTACATAAATATGCGTAAAGATATAAAAGCAAACCATTCTCAAGATAACTTTCATGTACATCATACCGTACAGAAATAAAACCACTTGCATGTGATCACACATGTTCAACTTTTGTTTGTGATAAACAGTGAACACCAGAAAATTATGTTAATAGTTCATGGTTTCAAACATACATATATTGCATACACATATTACGCAGACATGTCTGATGAAAACATGAGGTGAAATATCTCTAATTGTAGTAACGAGTTTTAAATAGTGCACTTAATGTTCAAAAGCAGAAAAAGTATGAATATTCATGGTTAACATAATGTAACGTTAGTATGTCCAACTCTTGGTATAGGGTTTTCATATTTTAGAAACGATGACAGCACCAAACATTTGAAAAATAAATAAATAACCCTTCTGGATTTCAATATACTACAGTGGTCATTAAGTATAAAGCAAAGAATAAGCGCACAGAAAAAGAGTTATGTCAAAGTAGACAAATTTGTGTGAGAAAATAAGCAATCTGGAGATAACAGTCAGCGCAAATATTTAAGCCTTAGAATGCGTCAAAAAGTGAATACATATACACCATTTTGAACAACTTATAGCCACGGCACCAAGAATCCGCAACCACCGATTCTTATTGCGCCAGGGAACCCAACCAAATAGTCCACATCTCCATACACAACCCAAATCAACAGCCAGATACTTCATGGAACAGTGTCACATCTTAGTCTAACCCTCAACCCTATCCCAACCTAATCCAACTTCTCTTAGCATCGCACGTCAAGGTAGGTGGTCACAGAATGCGCAACACATGTCCAAGTTATCTCAGTCAACTAAGGTTCACAACCTCATCAATCGATTTGTCTCTTACCCAGTACCTTCTCCTTGACTTCAACACTAATTACCGTCACTCCATCAAACGCGAGTAATCCTATGAAGAGAACTACGGCCGAAACCCCGTAACAACTTCATGTCTTCTACTTCTAACAGTCATGTCTCACAGCTGTACAACGGGATAGGACGGTCTGCAGTGCAGTACAGCCGCCCTTTGATAAGTAGTCGGATATCTCGCCGACGCCACAAGTCACGTAAGTTGGTGAATGCCAACTCGGGCCTTCTGTATGACTGTTGAAAAATGGTATAGGACAATAAACCAGGTGCAAATTTTGAAAAAAAAATGAGTGCCTTTATCAATGAAGAACTAACGGATAACGAGACAAATGTAATAGCGAGATTGTTAGATTTAATATGAAAAATTGCTTAACAGTTGAGTGATTGCTGAACCAAGCTGTAAATAACCCATAGGCAAAACGGAATCAAAACAAACACTGATGTCTGAACGTTCCTAACAACACATTGCACCCACATTTAACTTTTTTTTAAAAGCAAAATGTATAATCTTTAAGGCAGGATGTCGCCAAAAGACTGAAACGTGCTAACAACTGAGAAGAAAAGTGATATAGGCATTTGCAGGTGCTTCTGGACCGGATAATTAAAACCTGTAAGTGTTTATTTTTCCTCCTAGACAATAATATTTATTATGCTACCAAAACACAATGTATGGCAAAAACAAGAATATAGGCTACTGAACTAATTTTGCAAATAGTGGTCTAAGGTGAGCGGTGTTTAAACACACCAATATTACTAAAGATTCCTACTACTGAAGCCAAGCCCATGATATCGGTGGGCAAAAGGTTCAGCGCTTATTCCCTCATTATCAATCTAAGGGTGAGTTTAGATTACACTTATCAACCACATAGTATCACTGAAGTGCTCTTGTATGAAAATAAGCTTAACAGTTTAGTATGTGTCAAGATTATTATCTAGATAAGTTGGTGTTAAGTAGTGGGATGATAAGAAACGTGATTTCCTCCATTTAAAATTCTGAGTCTTAAGACTATTTATCTTTTCTGTCTTCGTTTCATTTTTCCTAATATTTTCCATCTTCCACTGGTATTTTGTGTCGTCACAAAGTGCAGCAACTTGGACTGATTCACATTTGTGGAAGATTAAGTCTTTTACATACGTTACTGAATAATTCGCCCTCGTAATACTATGTACGGCAAACTAAGCTGTTACGTAAACTCCATTCATTTTCATAAGCTCACTCAATCCATTAACTCTTGAAAAAAAGCTGCTAATAAAACTAGATTCCCTCAAAATCAGTGAAACTTACAATACCACTAGTCACGCTGACTAAATGTTTTTTCAGTGAAACAAGGCCAAAAAAAATGAAATGCGACTAGTTTTGTGAGGATACAGGATAATTTGTCATCCTCAGTTTAGGTAGATCTCAAACATGCACTAATTACTATGTAATTAAAAGGTGGGGCATAAAGTCCACAATCTGGACACAAAGTGAATGGCTTATTTACTGATCAGTAAAATTACCGATTATGAAAGTCTTTTCTCTCCAACAAAGGACATAGTTCATATCAGTTCCAAGTTCATATGAAACCACGGTGTTGTAAAACATCCAACACAATTCCGACGAATTGCAGCTTATTTACTGAAAATACTTTTAACTATTAGACAGAACTGCAAATGCATTACTCCACAACCCAACAAACAATAAATGTACGCAGGCGATTGCATGATGAAGCAGAAATGACTACTACTATGCTTTCACAACTACATTTTTTTCACTATTTACAACTATGAGACCATCAACCGTAACAAACGAACACAACAACCTCACGCAATGGAAAGCGTCGATTGCCTTGAATACTTGACTTTAAGTCACGGAGATATGGTTCGAATTACGCTCTGAGACTAAGTCAAAATAGCATGGTGGGACCACTAACTCTTAGTTAACAGGTTAAGAAATAGTACACAAGGTTGAGTAGTTGGTTAGCTGCATTTCCTATTTAGGAGGGGAGAATAATAGCTGTTAACAGTTTACTTCTTCCATACAAAAGTCAATCAAGGATGCTGTCCTTTTTGATGATTTCTACAGCAAAACTAATAGATCTAGAGCATAAAAGACGGTCAGTTACATCAGATAAACCCATAAGTACACGTAGACGACGACTAACAACTGAAGATCCGCTTACCAAACGTCTACTTATTTGAAGTAAGAGCTTTACCTCGTAAGAGGGAAAGCAGTTAGTCCGAGTAGGGATAAAACGACAATAATACTAGACGTATTTAAATAACCAACTAGAAGCCGAAGAACCAAGTTCATCCAGGTGTACAACCAAAGTCATCCTATGAGACTAACTACTCCGTGCTCAACAGCAAAACTAATAAGCAAGGTGATACCGAAATACCGTGGCAACCGCAGGCAAAATGTAAACATACCTTAAAGACAGACCATCAGTTGTCGCACTTGCAGTGGAAACCTTCAATTCTTTGCTTGTCCTCAGATCATCGGAAGAATAGCAATGGTTGCTAACGTCACGGTTACTAACTGGTACACTATGTTGGTGGGGTTTGTGGAAAGCACTACGTAAACCACTTCCAACCCTCGAGAAGAAGTTCTTCACTTTATCTGTGGATAGGGTTTTATCAAACAACAAATTTTAATTGAATCAGCTATAAAATTTTATGCAAAATTACTGGCCTAGTATTTTCAAAACCCACATCAATCCGAACAAGAAATTTCGAGGGATAATATACGGTTAAAAAAGTGAACGGGCGGCACTTACTACTATCCGGAGCACTTTCTGGGGCCACAAATCCCCTTTTCTATCGTAAACGTTAGTATAATGTAACACTCAAACCTTCTTCAAAGTTTTCATACAAACCAAAATTCAATTGCCTATACTAACCCCGCAACTTCAAAGTCGATATTGAGCATTGCGCCTCCTTTGACCTAGAAGTGAAATATTTGTAAGAATGTTTCTAACGACAAGACATATGCAGAATTCGTCGAGCGTAAAGACTAGACAGTCTTTAGCCCGTGCATTTCCTATTACTGATTGGTTTCAACTTCCAGTTACAAGGATAGTATGGCAGTTTAAATCCAATATCCAATATTAATAGTGGGAGCGTAAAAAACTGATAGTTTTCGATATCTCGCGCCTAGTTCTCGGGATCGGTTCAAGTTGTTCGGTTCGCTCCTAAAGTGGACGAGGGAATCCCCCTTGCCTTCTTGGTTTTAGCTTCTATGAGGTGGATGTTTTGTGGGTTGGTAAGTTGTAATTTATAGAGTAATTAGGGAGCTAAAGGTCGCTGGGACGGTTAGGGGACTGTCGTGACTCTTGCCTGTATAGGCGCCTGAAACAGGATAGTAAGGCAGTGGTAAACAATGAAAAGGAAGGGGTGAAGAAAAGAAATAAAGGGGAGAAAAGTACGTGAGAATTGCTTAGGTCTATTTCCTAGAAAAGAATAATTAGGTAATCTGGATGTGTCAAGGAGGGAGGCAGTGAGTGATACGTAGGAGGGAGGTGAGGGTGGGCCAGTAAGGTTGACGACTACCTGAGTACGTCCGTGGTAGTCCATGAGAGGTGACACAACTGTCTAACCCTCTCTGGAATGAGTCGACTGAGGAGGCCATGATGATACGTCACAGCAAGGCATTCCATAAAGCGCATACTCGCAGGGGGGAAATGGGCCCGAGCATGGTGTTGGCTTTTTGGTGTGCTATCTTAATGGGGTTTCCCCGTGAAGACCGCTGAGTTGCAGGCAAAATTGATTTGTTTGCATGGTTTGCCTGATGGGCGATCTTGTATGCCATATTAGGGTCGCCCCTCCTCCTGCGATAACGTAGGGTGAATAGGTTTAGGTGTTTATGTCTTTCGGGATATGTCTTCCCCCATAGCCTCACAACTGATTTTGTTACAGTTGTTTGTATTTTTTCAAGGAGATCAAAGTCCGTCTTGAGTGTTGGGAGGGCCGCCGTGATGAAGGTTTCTAGATGCGGCCGTGAGTGTGACTTGAAAAAGGTGAGGGAGTGTTCAAGGGTGAGGAAGCCAAGCTGCCTACGCAGAAAGTGTGGAATAGAGTTCGCTCCGGTTGCCATATCTTTGTAGTTGGAGCTGGTGTTCAGGGTGTCGGAGAAGTTGAACCCCAAATCTTTCTCCGTGGACACTGGTGATAGCATGGCTGCTCAATGTCTACTTCGAATCGGTCGTACTTGCTTCGCATTTACCGATGTGCATTACTTTGCACTTTTCCAGATTGAGGCCGAAGCCATTTTCTGACGACCAGAGTTCGGGTTGCTGCAAGTCCTTTTGTGGTGCTGTACAGTCAGCTTCTTCGTTTACAACCCATTAAATTTTAGCGCCGTCAGCAAAAAGGAGAATGAGTGAGGATACCTTCGGTGGTAGATCATTGACAAATAAGAGGAACAGCAGTGGTCCTGGGATTGCTCCTTGAAATACTCCTGACGTCGAGAGTCTCCACTCCGACCTTATTCTGTTTACTTTGGTACAGAACTACCTCTCTTCTAGGTACTCCTTGAACCAAGAGAGTAGGGGTTCACTTTAACCGGTTGACATGATCTTGTGAAGCAGGACTGTGAATGGGACGTTTTTAAATGCCCTGACTAGGTAGAGAAAAACAACATGCACTGGTTTTCTGTTGTACCATCTGTGTCCAGTCTCCCGGGGCGGTTGGTAAGTTGGCAGCAAATGAGCAGCCACTCCCAAATACATGCTGAGTAGTATGGACAGTGCGTTCCCTGTTGAGGGATTCAAAGATAGTGTCAGCTAACCGGCTTTCCAACACTTTCGACAGTACAGGGTGCCAGAGATTTTCCTGTCTCCTCCCTTGAGAATGGGCGGCAAGATAGTGCACTTCCATTCTTCAGGGATTTCACACGACTCTAGTGAGTGCTTGAGGGGGTTGTAGACTGGTTTTGTCAGCACCTCGGTGCGGTATTTTAGGGTCGCCAGTTTTAGGTTATCCCAGCCATGAGACTTGCCTGGAGGCAGCCTGGGTAGTTACTCTCACGCTTTTTTCTCCGTGATTGAGATGTGGCAGAGGTATTCTTTATTTATAGCCTGGTCAGTGTTGTAGAGTCGGTGTGGATTTGGTATCGGTACTAAGTTGGGCCTGAAGCATGAGCTTAAAATAAATAAACGTTCTATTCTCAAATTCGGAATTTGGCTTGAGAGGAGGCAGTTTACAGGTATCATCATTAAGCTTCCTGAACGATACAGAAGGGAGGACATCAAAATTCGCCATAGCATCAAGTGTCTGCAAGTTATGAAAGGGACAGGAAAATATCGCTTGTCAGCACACAGATTGTTTATGGGTTTCGGTCGTTTCCACATCTACGTACAAACATAATGGCAGGGAGAGAGAGACCGACTAAGTGCTGGTCTGATAAAAGAAGGTTGACGTGTGCATCATTAATCCTAAGATAAACTGGTGGAAATAATACTTCAATGCACAATTTCAGAAAAATATATTCACTAAAAACATTAACGCACCGAGCATGTGAGTTGGAATAATGTTTTTAGTTGTGTGAATGAAAATATGCATCGCCAGAATTTCAATGCAAAAGTTTAATCGATTTTTTTATATGACTGTAAGTATAAGGGTCTGTTCATGCGTGCCGAAACTAAGAAAATTACCTGGTTAACATTGAATTTTATTTTAAAACTGAACTAGATGAAGTCTTCACGGTGTCAAGTGCCTTTCAATCTATTTTCTTGCGTATACGCGTTGGGTTATGAAGTCTCAGGCTCTGAATGTTCGGCGAGTCATTTATCAACACCGCATCTTCTATTCATAGTGCAGTAAGAACATAACTAATAATATATTTTGAATAACGGATTGTACAAACACAAGCCATTTTTACAGGCAATATCTAAGTGTTGTTTCCTTTATTGGAGCTGTAAAAGTCTAGAAATAGGCATGTCATCTTGCCATACAAAGTGTTCTGGAATATTCAACCGTTTAGGTATTGCTGGTCACAAATATCGGATAAGAGCGATGTAGTTAAACAGCAGTGGCAAAGATTAATGAGGGTATAATCTCTCAGTATGAGAAGCAATGCCGAGTCTTGAAATCTATAAGAGCACGTTCCATGTCGAATGTTGAGAACAACTGAGTCCGAAAATATGTCTGCATTCAATACGTTTGCGCCGTCTACAGACGGCAGATGGGCTACGGGGGAAATTTGGGTCTGGTATTGTGTGGCATCATGCAGACTGTAGAAATTGTTTAGGTGTATAATGTTGCAAACAGATCCGTTTGAATAAATGATGCCAGGGATGCATTTCTGTCCAGCTGCTGCCGTCACATAACGAAGGAGAATATAAGGGGTCTCACCATCAAACCACTCAGTAAGACCTCAAGGTCAGAGAGTCACATAAGATCACTCTCGGTTGGCTTTGTTTTCATGTGAGTGGCTGTCAGGACTAAAGGAACTTGCATGTTTGGGTGCGGATGGCATTTTGCACCAACATTTCTGGTTGCTCTACCACTTAAAACTACTTGTTCATGAGAGGTTGTAAACTGGGATGAATAGTCTAGCTCCTGGAGATTTTGCACCTCTAGGTGGTAAAAGATGATAGTTCTTATCTGCTGAATGTAAGTTACAAGCGTATTTCGGTGCTCAGTGTTTTGATATGATCATAATCTGTATACCGGGTGATAAAGAGAAGCATGGAGGTGTGGGAACTGAAGTTAGTAGTCTCAAAATTTTGGAAAGCCATATTGTCAACTAGGGTATCCAAAGAGGACACGAGGAATAAAGGATCATATAGCCTAATAATCTACTTGTAGAATACTTCTGAGGTTTTATGTAGTACATTTCTCACGTCCCAGTTTAAGCTGCATTACAAATGCTTAAAAATGGTGACTCTGCTTTGCAGCTGAGATCCAGGAAGGGCTTTGTTATGCACATAAACAGTTAGGGGAGGATAGTTACTATATTCCTAAGGGAATGGAGGGTGAAGGTAGTATATTAGGTCTAATGACCTCAGATAGGGATGGTTTCCATAAGTCTTCACCGTCAGACCTGCACCTTATGCTGTATACCTGTTCTTTTCTTTCTATGCTGTTCAACATTAGCTTCCTAGTCTGTCGTTACTTAGCTTTTACCATGTGCTGTCTACATTCCCCCCACCAGCCTCTACTCTCTTTGATAACCGTAGTGGTACGGCTGACATGGAGGAGTCTAGGGGTTGTCGCACTGGTTATCAAGTACTTCGCGTCGTTCGTAGTGTTTGTTTTGCTGTCTTTGCACATCCAAAGACCTCAACCATTCTTGCGCACCTCGCAGATAAGGGTGATTTCCATGAGTCCCCATCATTGGTTCCACCATCTTGTGTTGTCAAGCTGTCTTTATATTTCGAATTGTCTTACGACCTGTCGCCGATACTCTCGTAACACATACTGTCATAAAGGTTATTAAAACGAAGCTTCATTTCCATCGGCCAATCGTAACGTTTCTTGCGGAAGCCTATGACCACTGCACGTTCGCTTTAGTACTGCACGGTGGAAGTATGCGGGCAGCTGGTCTGCAAGATATAGCTAGAGTGGGATAGAAGCCGGAAGCATGAGCCCTGGTGGTGATAGGCTGCATTTACTTTCTTGGAGTGAGGAGTAAAAGATTTATTTTTCATGATTCAGAATGAATAGGTGTTAAGTCGAGAGATCAGTTGGGTTATGAAGAAATAGGGGTTTCACGAGGTTAGCTACAGAGTTCACTGTTGTAAATCATATCACACTCCGCTTCCTGTCTACTCTAGGTCAGTTGTTCCATAAGATTTTATCTTAACACACGCGCTTAGTTTTCGTCATTGCATACTTTTGTCACTGCTGTCGGTCTCCGTTGGGTCTAGGT